ACACCTCGGGCACATACAGGAACTGGTCACTGACACCTCCTTACTGCTAGCATATTGAACTCAGCTCCTGACGTATGGATAACTATCAGCGTCTCACTTTGGAACAAGCCGCCCACGGCTTTAGGAACCTCGGGAAGGAGTGACATGGGCCTTGCATCAACCCTGATACACCGAAGCACATCTAGCTACATCATCTCATTGGTCACATCTTCAAGGGAGAAGCGCAGACCCCTTGCAAATAATAGCAATAATAGCAATAATAGCAACAATAGCAATAATAGGAATATTAGTAATAATAGTAATAATAGGAATATTAGTAATAATAGTAATAATCGGAATATTAGTACTATCAGAGACGAGCTCCTCTTCGTCAGAGTTCCAGTGCTGCTGTCGGCAATGCCAATCGTGAAACCAAGAAGCAACAGCAATGAGAATCAGTGCCCTTGAACCCGAAGCCCTCAAGCACAGAACCCTGAACCCTGAAGTTATAGACAACAAACCCTAAACCCCAAAACCCTAGACCCTAAACCCTAAACCCTAAACCCTAAACCCTACTCCGACCTCCGGGCTGATCAGCGCTCTCTGCGCTTGGTTGCGGATGTCCCCGCACATGGAACCTGTCGAGAATGTGGGCGAGGAGTTGATACAGTGATACAGACTTGGGAGTTTCCGAAAATAGGGGACCCTAAGATGGTACCCTAAATAGCAGGATCCTTGTATTATAAGGCCCCAAAGCAAGGTGCCCCTAATTTTCGGAAACTCCCACTTGGGTATACCAGGTTAGGCACGCTCCCTGTTCCTGGAAGCCTCGAGGGTTCAGGTCTCTGCAGCTGCATGGTTATGGGATGAAGTGCAAGGCTTCGGAACGTAAGAACCGTTGGGGGGGCTACCCTATTTTTGGGGTCTTTGTCGAGTCTTTGTAGTAGGGATCCTACTATTTAGGGCTCTTTGTTAGGGTCCCAAGGTGATACGCGAATCACACAGAAACTTCGGTTTGTGTTGGTATCTGTGTCACTCCGACACATGATGCTGACCGAATTAAATACGTTCGGCCGCACACTAAGCCAACACAGCAGACCTGCTTGGGCGAAATTGATGACTCGCGCACCCAGTCTCCGTCCCAAGACCTGCAACAAAGGCGTGGACTCCCAGCTGGCACTTCAAGCTTCACTGTGAAATAAAAAGCTAAGCACGGATCACAGATCGAAAGCAAACCACGCTGCCGTACAACCAAGAACCTTGTCAAACAGCAACGCCACTCAGTCATACACACAGCATTCTGTGCTGCCTGCCTGTGGCCAAGTAGGGTGCATGTAATCTGCCCAAGAATCCTGCGACAAGCGAAGTCAACCATGGCTTTTGTATGAATCCGTGTGCAGCAAACTGACAACGACTGACAGCATTGCAAACATCACAGACCGCCCACGAGGACATTCATGATGCAACTGTCCCCGAATACCAGTACCGACCACTGCGAGGCTCGCATGGCTCTAAATGTGGGTGGTCAAATGATCAAGCCGCCCCTAGCGGTTTGCTCTGTGCTGAGGAAGTTTGCGCAAACCTGCACCAACGTTCGACCGGCGTAAGTGTCTAGCCTAGCGATGCATCACGACCACAGTCAAGCGCCGAAAGTCGAAGTCAAACACTGCATAATCTACAAGTCTCGCCATGTTGGCAATGTGCCCGACTTCCGGTGTGCAACTTGATCATGGCGACCAACACTGCTTGAGAAAAATCAACGACATCATGGTCATTAACAACAGAAACGAGAACGCTAGCATGCCAACGTGCCAATTGACCAAAATTTCGGCAACCTACGGTGCACAAGGCCAGCAACTCGTATCACGAGCTCAACTCGTAAAATCCCCCTGCATGACGAAGCTTCCACACATTCCACTTTTCGAAGGCAAACCAACTGGAATTCTGCCTACACCATATCTGTTGACATGCTTGAACATACTTTGAAATCCTGCCTCAAAAAACTCAGCATGACGCTCGTTCTTTGATCCGCTTTGACTGCGAAGTCTTGTGAGTTTCGATGCCAACATTTGTACATGTTTGGCCAAACCAGCAGCTCTGTTGAGCAAACGACATCACATTGACGGTCATCTTGCAGCATTCACGGCATAGAAATACGAATAAATGCTTTTTGAATCTCAATTACCGCTTTGGGAAGCTAAACCCGCAGTCTTCACGAAACTCATGTTGGATGCACTGCACTTAGTTCAATTAACGATGGCACAACAAGACTAAAGACTCAAAACGTGAAAACAACCTGCACCCAAATCAAAACCAGACCGAGGAGCCACTCGTTGGACATCGCTATGCCCTATGCCGTCCAATAGCTTGTACTGCTTGTACTTAAAGCAAAGTCCACAAGTTTGACTCCAGCATGGTCACTTTTGTGTCAACACAAGCACAGCTGTCAGCAGCACCAGGTTTCAAAGTTTCTTTGACAAAAATGGTCGTAAATTGGCTCACAGAAGCCACGCAACAGGCCAACCGGGACTGCGCGACCCTGCCCTCCAAGCCGGAGAGTGGTGATTTTGTTGTGCGTGAGAAACACATCATGCGCTCCCAGGTACAAGCGTGGGCTGCTCCCCTTGACGTGAGTTGTGTCTGTACCAGTCGATTGAAATCAGGATCGCACAAATGAAAATGTTTCAGAACAACCTTCAAGCTCCAGCCGATTCGAAAGAGTGATGATGAAGAGGAGGCTATGACCAGTTCCAGGATTTCACCTGAAGGGCTAGGGCTTGGCCTTGCTCCGCTCTTTCGTGCCGTTTACTGTCGTGTTGAACCTTCATCCTCCTCGCAGCACAGCGCTTGGGTACCATTTGGGTGCATGTCCGAGGCTTGTTGCACTGGGGTCGGTGAATTACATCGAAAGTCTCGTGGCTCGCGGCAGCTCGGGACGGCTCGGATTCTGCGATTGACTACTGTGCAAGTTGTCTTCAGCTGCCTTCGTGAACCCAATCGCAGAGAGGTGCTGCCAAAGCAGAAGAGCAAAGAGCTCGACAAGGGCGAGAAGAACGAGAAGAATCCGCCGAAGCCGAAAAAGGGCCGAAGGCGGGCGGCTCAGCCGGACCAGGTTCTGGTGAGACCTGTTCTGCCGAGGCAGAGGGGGTGCTAGCGAAACGTTTTATCGAAGGAGGATACAGGTCTGGGTTCACCAGGCTCGGTCTGATGTCATGGGCTTGGAATGCTACGACTAGCCGGTGCGCAACTAGCCAAGGTTAAGGGGATGTGACCACAAACCCTCCACAGTGTCAAGCTGGAACAGATCAGCAATGGCAGAATTCGGTCTTGATTGAATTGTCTCCAGCCCTTGTGGTGCTAACATGAGGAAAGGAACTCCAAGCTCTAAGAGCAGAAGCAACAGAAGCTGCCAAGAAGCCGGGCAGGGATGTGCAGAAGGTCGACGTGAAGAAGCTCCTTGAGGCTGCGCTCGGGGGACAGAGACCTTCGATGCCCACCCCGGGTGGTGCAAGTCCGATGGGCTCTGGCGAACGTGAGCAGATCTCAGGACGAAGCGATGGAGTACATGGGATGCGGCTACTGCTTGTTGACGACGTTGTGACATGTGTGCGGGGGTGTAAACCTGGGCGCAGACACCTCGAGTACTGAGAGTGAGATCACTGCAAACTCTTCCACAACTTACTAATCTTGATCAGGGCGCTGAAGCTTTCAAGCCTTACCTGCAAGAGAGAGCGTCAAGGCTGGTGCTGCTGGTGCTGCTGGTGCTGCTGGTGCTGCTGGTGCTAGGGGGGTGCTGGGATAGTGCTGGGTTGGTGCTGGTGCTACGGGGGTGCTGGGATAGTGCTGGGGTGGTGCTGGAATGGTGCTGGAGTGGTGCTGGAGTGGCTGCTGGTGCTGGTGGTGCTGGTACTACGACCACGACTACCACCACCAGCACGGCCACTGCTGCTACTGCAGCCCGCAGCAGACACACATAATTACACAGGTCAACCCGAGCCTTTCTTGAATTTAAGCTCAGAGTTTTGTCACGCTGGCTCAGGTGCACAAAAAAGCGCTCTTTTGCCATACCTGTCCAGCCTGGTCAACATGGGAGGCAGCACTTCCCAGGCAGATGCCTTCGCGCTTGTAACCGGAGCAGCTGGTACTCACATCACGTCATAGGCGAGCTTGCTTGACACACACTCAAGTAGCTCAGTAGCTTACACTGCTTGGCTCTTTTCGTCGCTCGCACGCTTCTTCTGGCCCAGTTCTCGCCTCGGGTCTGAGGGGTTTAAACTGGGAATTGCACCGTTTTGGGACTTAGCGGCCGCAAGGCTTCTTGAACCGTCTCCTTTCTTAAGCTCACAGGTTTCTTTGCGCTTGCCGCCGGGAAACGATAGGAAGCCAAAACTCTTCACCGAACCCAACTAACGCCCATCGGTGCCTCCATTTCCAATCGCTCCACCTCGCACAGGGTATTGGCACCTGGGCGTGAAACCACGGTTCCACTCTCACAACTCGGACTCTGCCAGGCGAAATCTGTGTGCACATGTCGGGGTGAAAAGGCACCATCGGAGGGCGACAGGCTTTGGACTCTGGGCTATGCAAAGATTGCAAAGAGACCACTAGATCTCTGGACAAAAGGTTGTCGCTGCAGAAAAATGTTGCGCAGAAAATCATGCAAGACTGTACATGTTGTAAGCCAGGGTTTTGCAGCACCCTTGGCAGGAGAGCCTTCAAGAATCAATTCATGCGGATGCCTGAGGCATCCGATGGCAGTTCAAGAAAGCTTCACGGCCCAAAGAGACCTGGCCGCCCGACAAGCTCGGCCAGCAACACTTGCGCTACGAAGCGGCCAGTCCAGCATCGGTTCGGCCCACATACACCAAGCAAAAAAAAAAGCGACACAATAGCCGCGTCTTCTGCCTGCAGGCCTTTGGCCTGTTTTCGCTGTCGGATTTCTAAGCTCGGAGCCAGCTTCGTGTAGAAGGCTTCGAGCAACAAAACATGGCGACATCAGCCGCTTCGCAGATGCTTTTCGGCTACACAGAAAATGTGTCGTTGTCGCCGTTGTCGCGAGGCCGGACTATCCAGCGGGATGCACCCACCACAACGCAACCAGTCATTATCAGTCCGCCCACCACGATCAAGACGATCACCATTCCATTCACTCCATCGTCCTCTTCGTCCCAACGGCTCGTCTGTAGCTCACTTGGAGCGACTTCTGCGGCGGTTGTATCATCGCCGTTGGCTGCCGGGCCGGAGTGGGATGTCGAGGTTTGTGAGGTGGTACTCCCTGAAGGCCCCAAAGCAGTGGCAGAAGAGGTGGAGGAGCTGCTTGACGACTGCGTAGCGGTGGAGGAAGAAGAAGGCATAGGGCTGCTTGAGGTAGAGGAGCTGCTTAACGTCATGGAAGAAGTGAAAGATGAGGTAGAGGAGCTGCTTAACGTCATGGAAGAAGTGAAAGATGAGGTAGAGGAGCTGCTTAACGTCATGGAAGAAGTGAAAGATGAGGTAGAGGAGCTGCTTAACGTCATGGAAGAAGTGAAAGATGAGGTAGAAGAGCTGCTTAACGTCATGGAAGAAGTGAAAGATGAGGTAGAGGAGCTGCTTAACGTCATGGAAGAAGTGAAAGATGAGGTCGTGCCGCTGGAGGTGGAGGAGATGCTTGAGGTGATGGTTGATGTCCGTGTAACGGTGGAAGAAAATGTCTGCGTGGACCTGCTTGTGGTTGCTGAAGTGGAAACACTTTCTGTGGTTGTTGACGTGGAAGAGGTCTGGGCGGCATTGTTGCCCGCTGCCGGTCCGTTGCCCACAATGACATACGGAGATTTTACGGTGTTGAAGCTGGGAAACTCCAATGTTGACACGACCGGCACGAGATCCGTCGACCCATCCCCGGTCATGTCGATGGGGTTGTAGAACGGTAAAGTAAAGCTGCCTCCGCCGCTCTCTGTCACCTTGAAGCCGTCGGTGCCGCTCAGCGTCAAGACATCAATGGCGTTTCCCGGGCTTGCCCTCCCGAACACAACATACATGTTGCTGTCTTTCCCAATTGCGATGTCGTCGTACTGGTCGCCGTTGAACTTTCCCAGGACGGCATAAACCAAAAATCCGAACACCCCTGGGATGTTGCTGAAGGAAACTGCCTCGCCGCTTGCGAAGGGCAGTGTCACACTCGCAGCGAAGGATGCCTTGCCGAAGAGAACCCAAAGGCCTACATGGTTGCCCCGCCCTGACACCACCAAGTCGGAGAAGCCGTCGCCGTTGAAGTCCATCGCGGAAACGCCGTAGTCCGCGAGCTGGGTGTTTGACTCTGGGCCACACACCCGGAAGCCAGTGGTGCCATCGACATGCGCGTAGATGTCGGGAATGGTGGCCGAGTATGTGCCGCCCCCATACAGTACATAGATACAACCAGCCTCGCTGAACGGCTGATCACTTCTGCTCGAGGCCACGACGTCGTCGATGCCATCTCCGTTAATGTCTCCCGCAGCGAGGCCACGTCCCAACCGAGTGTTGTCAGCATCCAGGAATGAAAAGCCCGTGGTCGTGCCATCAAAGTCAGTGGAACCATCCACCGATCCGGACCATGTGCTTTGGCCAAAGAAGATGCTTACTCGGCCACCACTGTTGCTGCCCGCTGAGATGACGGCAATGTCGTCAACGCCGTCATTGTTGATGTCGAATCCACTAAGGATCTGCGGCGTGTTGCCACCGTAGGAGCTCTCTGCAAAGTTGGGCTCGCCAGTGAAAGTCAATTCGATGCCGTCGGTGCCGTCCCATGTCATGCTTTCAATGGTGTAGGTACTGCTCCAGCCACTGGCCTTACCGAAAATGATCTTGACGGAGCTGGAGGCCTTGTCAAAAAATAACACGTCGTGGAAGCCGTCGTTGTTGACGTCGCCGGCGATGGTGCCCCACATGCGCCCATTTGAGCCGCTGGCAAGGCTGGCAACGAGGAAGCCATTGGAGCCGCTGTGAGCGAAGCTGTCGATATCGAAGTCTGCAGAGATGCCTCCGAAGTGCACATTGAGATGTCCGACAGGGTACTCGTAGGCGAAGTCATTGACGCCATCGCCGTTTACATCGCCGGAACTCATGCTACCCGGAAACACCGCGTCGGCATTATTGTGGGTGGTTATCTCGTAGACAGTGGCGGCCGGAACCGAACCGTGATTTGCAATATCCCAGGTGGCAGGGTAGTCCGTGGCAGATGCCACGCCGGCCATCACGAGCCCCATCAGCTGCATTACGCTCGCTGAAGTCGTGACTGGAATTGCAATTGGCGGGCGCTGTTGGGCTATGTCGGGCTATGTGTTGAACCTTTGCACACTCAAAGCTGGGGCCTCAAGCTTGAAGATAAAGCTGCAGGAATGCGGCGGCGGAAGCATATCACATGCGTATATCACATGCGTAGCCGCGACGGCTTGACCCTTCTGTCACTATGACAGCCTATCCACCGCAGTAGTGGACCCCCTTTGACAACTGTAACCATCAAACCAATACGAACAATCGAGAATTTGAGGCCGTGTCCATTGAAACCCCCGGCAGACGACGAGGCTTCCTGAAGTCGGCGAGGCAGGTTGGGATCGGGAAGTCTGACACAAACATAGGCTCTAGCAGAAGCTGACGGCACTTTGATTGCTTTTACAAGCCCTTTCACGAGTCGATCGCTAATGTTAACCCACAAGAAAAAACACACACACACACACACACACACACACACACACCTTGGCAAATTCACATCCCTGGCCTTTCACCACGGCGCTTGCTGCGCCTGCCCGCCTTTTCGGGGGGGATGGGGGCGTTTATGGCGTTTAGGGTATAAGGTTTCCCATGGATTTTTTTTTGTTTTGAACAGAGCGTGCGAGCGCGTCGGTGCAGCCTCCAGTTCTAGGCTCTAGGCTATTTTCAAGGTATGCTCGCAGGGTCTGTGATCTGAGGCGTCGTGGTCAAGGTGGCCGAGGAAGACTGGCAATATTCAACCATTTACCCGGTTCAAGCCATTATCGTCGTGAGTGTCGACGTTTTATGCAGGGTTTGGGCTTTACGGTCTGGGGTGCGGGGCTTAGGGCTTACGGTTTGGAATGCGAGCCTGGAGAAGCCACCATGCGGGCGCTTTCGACAGGGCAGCGCTGGTCTGCAGCAAGGTACACTACAACATGTATGCATGTGTATATGTATGCACGCATGCATGTATGCAGGTGCGCACAAATTCACGTATGCACGTATGCATGTATGTCTTGTTGGGGCTAGGGCAAGACATGGCGGGGCACTTCTGGAGCCGTCGTTACCTAGTGGACCAAGAATCCGCCAATGCAAGATGCAGTACGGCATTGTATTTTAGAAACTCCTCTATGTGGCTGGACATCACTGAGGTAGGCGAGGTTTCACCAGCGAACATCTCAAAGGCTGCATTGCGAAGGCTACAACATACGGGCCTGGTGCCATCATACCCACCACAAACAAAGATTTGTCCCTGACCTGGAACATCGCATACATGCGGCGTATTGAATTCTAGGAACATGAAAACACATGCCGTCACATGCCAAAGCAGACAAGTTTCTGTTCGCTGCGACCAGGTCAGCCGCGGGCTTTGCGCGGCAGGCAGCTCGCCCGACAGCATGGGATGCAGATCGAAGTGCTCGCACAGCTGCAACACTAGCCAAGCTGACAACACTCACTGTCAGCTCATGCAGCCCGAACGCTCGAGACAACGTCGCCGTGCCATCAAGATGCAGCGGATAATTGCGACAAATCCGATCAAAGCGTTCCCGGTGAAGTCGCGCCACGAATCGGTCGTGGCTTAAAGCACCGCTGGCGTAAAGGCATTCTTTGAGCACTGCGACTTCTTCCTGCAGATTTTCGAATTTGCCCACAAGGTCGGACATGGGCAGCTGGGAAGCAATCATCGTCCAAAAACCATGTCCACAGCGGGTGCCAATTAGAACAACCAGAAACGTAAATGCGAAATGGCTAACTGGATAATTACATCTTCATGAAGTTGCTCCACATCCGGAACTCTAGAGCCCCGAGCTATACAATGCAAGCAGCACGCAAAACAGTTGTTCTACAAAACTCCTGGAAGTTCGTGCGTGGACTCGATGCCGCCGTGTTTGCATCTGGGGGTCAAAGACAAACCAATCGTCCGTGGCAGGCACGGCTCCCTCTCAGACTCGGTGAGCTCAGAATGTGTTCCACCAGGCCCGAGCCGGCCGCGTTTGCGAGAGTCGATTTACGAGAGGATATTGAACGCGTGCAGCGTCAAGGGGTTTCCCATGAGTATCTTAAACACTTCTTGCCGTGCTTGCACGAGCAGCAAGGTACACCTTCACCGTGGTGGGGAGAGGTGCATCTCGAAGGCCAGCTTGTCGGTCGGACCGCTGCGGGTTTGTTGTGTCTGTGGTTGTAAAACGGCAGGTTTTCTGAGCATTAGATTCGTCCGCTACCGAACGCCCCTTGACAACAGAACCGTTCGTCGCAGGAAGTAGCGACGCCCTCGCAGATCTCCGCGACCGATCGGACTCTTGTCATGTACACACGGAAACAAACAGCATGCAAGCACAAGGTAGTGCTTTTCTCCACGCGCGCGGCTCAGAATGAGATTCGGCTTCGTGGTGCAGGCAGGATCTGGGACCCCGCAGGCAGCAAGCGGCGCGCTGGTGTGCGATGCGTGACAGGCCCTTAAGGCGTGAGATGTCACGCGGATGATATGAGTGAATTTCGCGGGTGTTTGCAAAAATGCTCATGCGCGCTGTTCGGCCGAAAGATACATGACGTGCGAAGTTGCCGCAGCGTGCATGCAACAAGTTGGAGAGCACCATGATGACTAGAAAAAAAGAAAAGTCACATGCAAGGTTCTGTGTTTGTCGTGTACTTGTGGCAACACGTAGGCACAAGGCAGTACTTTTTTTCCACGGCTGCTGCTCAGAACAAGATTCGGCCTGGCAGTGCACGCGGAACCTAGGACCCCCTCTTCAGTTCTGAGCGGCGCCCGGCAGGCTATGCAGCTGGGTTGTCGGCGGGCGGTGCTGGACTGCAGAAACTGCTCAGGCGGAAAGAGACAGCCAGCGCCAGTAGAGTCTCAGGTCCATGCAAACGGAAGTGTCCAGCCTCAGGCGGAGGCGGGGCAGACTCCTGTAGAGAGGGAAAATCCTATGCAGGGGGGTGCAATGCAGGCATGTCAAACGGATATCTGCTTTAGCACGGCAAGCTGTAGATTCGCGGGCAAGTGGTTGTCGCTTGCAAACGCAACGTGGACCCTGTCCTGGCGGCGATGGGCGAAGCGGACGAGCTTATTGCGGCTAAGCTCATCAGCCCATATGTTCTTTTTTTCACCCGCAGATGGGTGAGGAGGGCATCGGGGCTGTTCTCCGTACAGGCTGGCGGGCAGAAGCGAACATGCTTGTGCTGCAGGCAAGCATGCGTGCCCTGCATCCCGGTGCCTCATCTGTGACAAAAGGCCGGATGGCTCTGTTTCAGAGATGTCCCATGTGCAAGCAAACCGGAGGAAGGAATCCGACAGCCGCCGATGCCTACCTGGTTGCGTTGTGGCATCGGCGGCGCTCATGCAGTGCAAGAACGGTGTAAGCCCAGCGGAATTGCATGCATGAGAGACTGAAGAAAGCCAGTGGGGTGCTGCTTCACTGTTTTTGCCTATGTACGCCTAAGTGGCATTCGTTGCGGGCAGGGTCTTGGACCCTAACGTTTGCGGGCTTGTGCGAAGCAGGCACGACGGGGATGTCCTGCATGGAGCGCGCTCCTGTTTGAATCCAAAAGGCAGGCGTGCATCGGACGATTTTTGCTGAGTCGTCCAGTGCATGCAGGAACTGGCTCCAGAGGCGTGGCACGATGGACTTGAAGGTCCCTTTGCCGCCATGTAGATCGTGGCAAAGGGGGACAAGCTGGGGGCGGAGACGGCGGAGAAAGTTGCAAAGCCTGGTGGCCCACATGCGCAGGCCGATTCGAACTTCAAATGTTTTGCGGGCGCATTTGTGGCAAGAGATCGGTGAACTGCGCGTGCAGTTTGGCGAGCTTAACAGAAGCCAGCAGGACTTGCTGCACGTGAAGGTTCATAGGTACAGTCCGTTTCCTACTGTTCGCCAAAGTGGCAAAAGCAACAGGCAAACTGATCCTTTTGTGTCCGGCGGCGAAAATGTGCAGCGGAATCTTTGTCCTGTCTGCTAAAACAAATCGGCCCCGGTAGCGGGCGCAGAACCGGAGCAAAGAACCGTGCCGCGGCCGCAGAATAGAATTGCAGGCGTGCACCCCAACCGGGACGGAGCAGCAGGATGCTGTTTTTGTCCGGTCTGCTACCAGGCGGAACACTGAATCGGCCCCGGTACCGGCAGAGCCGGAGCAAACCGTGCCGCGGCCACAGAATAGAGGACAGGCTGCAGCCAAAGTAAGATCGAGCGAGAAGCTTGACCACAACCGTGGGAACAGCCACAGAGACATTCAAGCGAGCCGCTCGCTTTCCAGACACAGGAACCCTATCAAAATCGTGGCTGCTAGGAGTGGGAGATGCCGGGAAACAAAACCAGGAAATCTCCATTTCCTCAAGGATCAAAACCCGAGAGGGCAGAGTCAGAGCTGTGACTGAGCGCGTCGGCGGTGTTATTCAGCAGGCCTTTGACGTGATCGATAAAGACCGAGGCGTGCTGACAGAGAAAAAAAAACCAAAGACATGGCAAAGACCACGTGCCATGGAGAGCCCCTTCCAACTGCATCAGAAGTGGAGTTGTCGCATTTGAAAATGCAATGGACAAGGAGGTGTCTCGGGCAAGAGAGAATCAAGGAGGATGGCAAGGGCACATTGCGCCAATAGCTCCCAAAACGCTCAACTGGGCCAAGTCAAAGCAAGCGAAAACATCCGCCAAAATCCCGGAGACGCAACTATCGACCACCAGACGTGGCAGACGACCCTCAGCAAGGACAACCGGGAATCGGTCGGATCCAAGTCTTTGTGCAGCAGCTCATCTATTGTGGAATTGTCCAGAAAATCCATGCGTTTTTTGGCGTGAATGGGCCTCGGTGACAGCGGCTGCTGCGCTCGGTCCCTAGAAGAAACAAGAAAGCAAACACAAAAAGCAACAATCAACTGTACAAGGTGAGACAACGTGCCTGCGACATACAGACTTAGCCGGCAAAGTCGTTCATCATTAATTATTGTGCATTCGAAGCTACTGCGCTCACCGGCCCCGCTTCCCGCAATCATGGGTCGCGCAATGGCAAAGAGCAAATCAAGGCCCCGCTTCCCGTAAACATGGGTCGCGCAATGGCCCATAGGTCATGCATAGCCGCCATCCACATGGCTGGGCTGCGGCACACTGCTTTAGTGCAGAATCGATTGACTAAATTTGTAACGCTGGTTGCCTTAGAGAATCTGGATTCAAGGTTTGAAAATAAGGAGAACAAAAGGTAAATAAAAGCTATATAAAAGCTACTGCAAAGGTAAATGCAAAGCTAAAAACAAGCTGCACAGAAGCTAAAATGAAGCTAAGTCAATGTATTCCTTTGTCCCAGTTCCTAGCTTTGCCAGAAATTGGCTTTTTGTTTAGCTTCACTACACCGGCTCAATAACAGTGTAGCGTCACTACCTTTTCAAACACCTTTTCCGCAGCTTTGCAGCCCCTGTGCAGTGGGCGTACATTCCAGCTTTTTTTCAGCTTTTCATCACCTTTTTCTGGATGGCAGGGGGCGGTCTGGGGTATGGGGCGTCGGCGTGGACAAACTAGCTTTTTCCTAGGAAAAAGATAAAAAAAAAAGCTAAAAATGAGCTAAATAAAAGCTAAACAAAAGCTAAACACAAGCTAAAATAAAAGCTGAAGGAAAGCTAGAAAAAAGCTGTATCGCCGACGGCCCCCGGAACATCCACCAGCAAGGAAAAGCTAATCCAAAAGCTGAACGGCAAGCTGCCTGAGCCACGTTCTACACCAATCTTGCATTTGGGTACTTTTCATTACCTTTTGGATAGCTTTTACTTACCTTTACCTCATCCTAGGGTTTAGCTTTAATTTTAGGTTTCAATCACCTTTTATTCACCTTTTTTTCAGTTCAGGAATCACCTCTGCCTCTAAGCAACCGGCATTACAAGACTAAATGAGAAAAATGGCACATGGCGCACGTCCCACTCGGTCAATCGGCCGAATGCCAGGAGCATCCAAATAGCAGAATCAGCGGAACGATAAGTCAAATCACACTCCCTTTCCGCATATCAGAGATATCCATTGGAGCCGCATAGCCGAATGGCCAGGGCACACATACAAATGAAATAGAGCACGAGTGCTAAGGGAAGGACATGTACTGTTGGCCCACGTTCCGCCTGATACCGCACGGCAGTTCTGCGCAGAAAGCTGGCCACATGGCGCACATTACACTCGGTCAGCCAGCCGAAAGCCAGGAGCATCCAAATAGCAAAAAAGAGCGGGACCATAAATCACACTCCCTTCCCGCATATCTGAGATGACCGCTGCAGCCGCACGGCCGAATGGCCAGGACACTCATACCAATGAAATATTGCCACTCTCCGACCCCGGAAATGAAACCTCTTACAATCAAGGACGTTTTTTTTGTTGGCGTGGGCGGGCCTCAACGACAGCAAGTTGCTGCACTCGGTCCCAGCAAGAACTACAAGAAAGCCAAGAACTAAAGAAACTGCACAAAGAAGATAGAACAAAGGTGAGACAGGCCGCGACTAGCAGACTTAGCCGGCAGACGTCGTTCGGCAAAAATACGCAAAGCTAGCTAGCAACTACCCCGCTCAGATGCCCCGCTTCCCAGTTACACTGAGTTGCGCAATGGCACACGCATGAACCCCCCTTCGTAGGGAGGCAAGCGCATAAGCCAGCCCTCCTGTTCACTGTGAACAAGCCAGCTTCCCAAGGGTTGGCATGCAAGCCAGAAGGGTATA